GTTCATAAATTCAAAGTTCAGTTCAGGTTCAGGTTCAATGATCTGCAAAATTTGAAGTTCAGGTTCAGGTTCAGGTTTATTGAACCTGAACCTGAACTGAACTGAACCTAGGAACCCTAGTTGCTATTGTATTCTGAAGTAAACTTCATGTTTTCTCAGTTTATTTAGTAATATAAGTAATAAGAGTAGTATAAATAAAATAGTTATTTAAAAGTTAGTTCTAATTAGCTATCATAAGCTATATATAGCTTTTTAAATTTCTTATAATACTGTAAAAGCTAATACTTGTAATAGTATTATTCATAATTTTAGCTATTATTTTATATTATAAATTATATAATATCAAGCTAATACTTGACAAAGTATTATTTACAAGTTAGCTTTTACTTAATATTATATTTTTTAAAAAATACAAAATAAAAAAAGAATAAAAGAAGAGAAATAAAAGTGGTAAAAAATAATAAATTAAATATAAAATAAAAAAAAATTTTTATGAGTAATTAGAAAGAATTATTAAATTTAGAAAAATTTAATAATTTAAACAAAATATTTAATAAGAAGATATACTATATTAAAATATAGCAGATAGATAGAATATAAAAAAAAAAAAAATTTAAAAAAATTTTTATTTTATATAATGTTATCTAAATATTATTTTTGAAATCTCCTAGTTAGTACAAAGCTATAGATAAGAAAAATATAATAATTGTTTTTAAGATAGTACAAAGTATCTTGTATAATAATAAAATAATTGGTAAAGACCAAATTATGTGAGAGTTAAAAATAGATAAATAAAAAAAAAAAATTGCAAGAAAGAAGAAAGAGCAAAAAAAGAAGCAAAAAAAGAGAGAAGAAAGAAAAAAAATATATATATATAAAATATAAAAAAGAGTATAACTTGTATTGTTACAATGCTATAGTCTTTTTAGTATAAATATAGCAAAGTAACAAGGTTATCTGGTGCAGTGATATACTTTATGAATATATATGGGGTGGATGTGAAGTGTATACTTTAACTTCATAGCAGGAGGCAAATAGTTTGAGATAATAACAGTGTATAGATAATAATATTTATTAATAACAATTCATAGTAATAACCTTGCCTGTAAAAATTATCCTAGAGAGGGAATATTATACTTTACAAATAGAGAAGGGTAAAAGGATAGGGCTAATTTCTATAAGAAGGTAGGAAATTCTCTATGAGAGTAACCAAACTCTCTATAAGAGTATAGGGACTCTCTTTGAGAGTAATGAAACTCTGATTTGGCAGAAGAGGCAGGAGGCTCTCTTTTTATAACTTTTCAACAGATAGAAGTATAATGGTAAAATTGTTTAACCATGTAGAGATACTCAGAGGCACTTATGCAGAAGCACTTAGAGGTACTCTATGTAGAGGCACTTGAAGGCACTCTATGCAAAGGCACTTGGAGGTACTTTGTATAGAGGCACTCAAAGACACTTTATATAGAGGCACTCGGAGGCACTTTGTATAGAAGCACTTAGAGACATTTTGTATAGAAGCACTTTGTATAGCATACTATTTTACTTAGCTACAATATTACTGTGCACTATTCTATTACCCAATAAAATCTTCTCTATTTTAGATATAACTGACTATAACTAATAATCTAATACTAATAATAATAATATAATAATAATAATAATAATAACTATAATACTATGATATAATAATAATATAATAAATAATACAATACTAGAATATTTTTCTATACTATGCTATGCTAGTATTACTCTGTGTTATAATCTACTTTGTAACAGTATATAAAGAATTTATTACAATAAACACAAAAAATTACAGATTCTGTTATTATTACCAAAACTGTAGTATAGATAACTAGTCTTGTTAACTATACTACTTGACTTAATATGAAGAGGGCAAAAATATATATATACAAAGAGTAAAAACTCAAATAAAACTTAAAAAAAACTCAAATATAACTCAAAAGAAATAATCTCAAAAAAGATAAACTCAAAATAATTTAAAATATAGAATATAGAATATAGAGAATAAGAAAGAATACTTGAAGAAAATATAAAAAAAATAGGATAAAAACTTAATAAAAACTTAATAAAAACACTAAAAATACTATAAAAACTCAATAAAAGGAGTATATACATAGTAGTGAATATATAATTAAAAGTATTGTTATATATGAACCAATTTTAAACAATTTTAAATATATATGAAATTATTTAAAATTAACCACTAGTAAAATTCACCATACTGAGGTATTAATACCCAGGTCTGATCTGCAAAAGTGCCTAAATTAATTGGGCTAAAATTTTATTAAATTTAAATTTCCGGTGAATTTCACCACATTATATAATTAATTTACTATATTTGTATAGAGTCGATCGTAACCACACTCAGACTTTTTTTCAAGTGCATCGCAGAACCACGAAGTTTCATTGTGCAACCAAACAATTACTCGATTAACAAAAATAGGAGAATCGAATTAAAAAGCTGGCAGATCTTATACGTATTAAGGGTCTAAATTTTGGCGATAATTATCAACTCCATACTAGCGCTTAATAATAGATGATATTGACTGAGACTCATTTATAGAAATCCCAGATATTTTCAATGATACAAATTTTTCGCCACCTTTTAACAATGAAGATAGCGATAGTACTATTAATATAAACCCTTGTTTATCGTATTCCAACCAGATAGATGATGATATTGTTGTAAATACAGACCTTCCAATGTTTACTGAACATAACCGTAATCATCTTGTTTTCCAAATATGGTAATAATCCTTCACCATTGTTTGAAGACGAAGATACAAGCAGCTTATCGCTTTTTGAAAATGACAATAATCCCAGTAATATAGATGCTTCTAGTTATCAACATACCCTTCATGTAGGAGACGATTTTGATGATTGGCTATCCATTGATAGGTTTATCTATAACTATTGACTGGAGCGAGGATTTGAATACCAAGTTTTCCGTAATGACAAAGATTCAAATAATCCTAGTATTACTCGTCGCAAGTCCTTTCACTATTCATCAAGTGGTACTTATGAGTCTCGGAAAGCAATTAACCAAAATTCACATCGTATACGGGGCACCACAAAAATGAATTGTAAATGGTATTGTACCTTTACACTTTCAAAAACTGCACATCAAGTGAAATGCACAACATTAAAAGATAAACATAATCATGAAGTGATTTCCGCCCAAGTATTTGATATTATTGCTAGATATCGACGTCTTAGCGAAGAAATGATACAAGACATCAAGTTTTTTTTAGATTGTAAAGTAGCGCCCATGACTCAATTAGAGATGCTTAAAAAGAAATATCCACAACATGTATTTCATAAGCAAGACGTATATAATACAATTTATAAATTACGTAAGGATAACGATGAAAGGCTTGATTCTGTTTCATTTCTTGATATTCTTTTTGAAAAAATGGCTCAAGATCCGTGCTGGAAAGTATTTATCCGACATTCTGGTTCTGAACGTCGATTATCAGGTGTTTTCTGGATGTCTCCCTCCCAACAAGAGTTGTACCAGCATTTTTCTGATATAGTGCTTAATGATAATACATGCAAGACAAATAAATACAATATGTATCTTAGTGTTTTTATGATAAAAGACAATTATGGAAAATTTCGAAATGTGGCAAATGCACTGGTTGAAGATGAACTTTCTTCAACATATGTCTGGATTTTACAATGTTTAAAAAAAGCCACGGATAATATAGTTTCAAAATCTTTTTGGACCGATGCTGAACCTGGCTTAATTAATGCAGTATCACAAGTTTTTCCAAATACATACTATTTTTATTGTTTATTCCACATCTGGCAAAATATAATCAAGCATCTTAAAGCTCTTTTAGGTTCAAACTTCAACAAGTTTAGTCAGGCTTTCTATTCGTGTCGTAATTCATTAAGTATTGAGATTTTTGAATGACAATAGGAATTTATAATAAAGACATTTCCAGAATATGAGCGGTATATGTCCAAAAAGTTGTATGCAAATAGGTCTAGTTGGGCCAGGGCTTACACACCATTCCAATTCAATGCTGGCATTCAGAGCACACAGAGCATTGAATCGTTTAATAATATTATTAAAAAATCCCTCAATAGTGCTAGTACACTTTGTAAACTAGAAGAAGCAATTGATAAAAGGCACGAGCAAGAAATTAGATACTGCAAATTAGTGGATATTAAAGTGCAGTATATAACAGTTGGACTTCCATATATTTCTTCTCAATTTTTTTCAGCTGTTGATAATGTGCTTGTCAATTTTTTGACACCACTTATATTATCCTTACAACGATTTCAAATCTCTCAATCTTTTACTTACGAAGGACAAAGAGAACATATGATATCTGAGGTATGTTTTATTTATGAATTAAGCGATATAGTATATATAAAACTAAGGTACTTTTTATTTTATTGTAGAACTTATGTCTCGATACTATAGATGATAATTTTATAGAGGATGTGGTTGATGAACCACAAGCAACTTTAAAAGCTATTTTAGGTGATAACGGGACATCAAATATTATTGAAATGTGGAGAATTCGTAGGATCAGTGGACTTTCACGTAAAGAAAATTTGGTAGTACTTTTTAATGATAGAACCCATATATGCACATGTATGGAAACGATTACAAAGGGAATTATTTGTCGCCATTTTTGGTGAGTTATGCTCTATTCTAGTGCCGCTAGATTTCACATTAGTATTATACTGATCAGATGGTACAGAGATGATATTCTTGCAAAATTAGATCAAGTACTTGAAAACTCACTATCTCTGACAGCAATAGAATCATCCATAGATACTACAATTCAAGTGAACTTAAATCTTCAAAGTTTAAGAAATTTTCAAGGTTCTAACTATGGTACAAGTGTTCAAAAAATTACTTCTCAAAGAAATAGATTTGGAGTCGCTTTTTTAACAGCTAAAATCGCAATTAACGTCGCTTTGGAAACTAGAAGTGATAATGAATTATTTCAAATACTAAAGGACTTTATTTCAGCTAAAGTAATAACAATTCAGAGGAAATAGAAAACAGTGAGCCCCAAGATAAAGATGATATTATTATTTTACAACAGCATTTAATTGGACAAACAAATGATCCACATGTTACAAAAATTCGAGGTGCGCCTAGTAAAAAAAAGATTAAAAGAATGATAGAAATGCCAAAGAAAAATGTTCGGCAAGAAATTACAAACCAAATCAATAATACGCAAAAAAATTGTGCTGATGAAACAGGACTTAGGCCACAACGCAAATGCTTGTTATGCGGAAAACCCGGCCACTATCAAAAAAAATGTCCAAATGCTAAAGAAAATTAATCACATGTATATTGTTAGGTATATAACAGGTTATTGCGCTTAGCTTTGATGCTTTATTGAAATAGTTATAAATGTTATGTTATAGTTTTTTTTTTTTTTTTAATATTAAAGGTGACTACTTAGGCCATTGGCATGAGCTTTATTTCGGATAGTTACGATATTACATCAGATTCACGAGGATACAACTAGCCACA